TTTACAGCATCTTTTTCACGGCCAGCAAGATGTTGCTTTCGTCCACTGTTTCCCTGTGCATGCTGTCGGTACCAGGGTTAGCACTGTGGAGCGGTGAGCTGTCCCCAGGGGACTGTGCTCTTCCACCACACTGGGTGTAGTTGGGGACGGCCATGCTGCACCCAGGCCAACACAGCCGCGTGCTGCCCCCAGGCAACCGGTTGAGGCCAGGTCAAGGTCAAGCTCTGTCTGTGCTGTTGTTTGGTTTGTTGGGTTTTTTAAACAATAAATGCATCTCTGTGGCAATAAAATACCAATTCCTTTCTATAAATGAAGTGCTCAAATATTTTGTAATTACAGACCATTTTGATGACGGAGTCTGTGCAGCACTAGTCTGCTGTGATCTGATCTGGCTGTATCCTTGCTCTGGATGGGCTTTGCCGTACTTTCATTCTTTAGCTCTCATTAGTGCCTTGATGAATAGTGGAAGATGCGTTTCAACAATTTTGTTATTAAAAAGCAACATCTTACCATTGTTAGGTCTCTGGTGCCTTTGCCCTGTTCATTATGCTTTCCCTAGGAGTAACAGCAGTTATTTAGAGTTGCAACGTCAACATTGGTCTCTGAACCTTGTGTTTTCTTTAACCGTAAATTCTGGGGAAGGAGGAGAAAGGAGTATGAAGGAAGAAGTCTAAGTAGTAGGCTTTGTTCTTCTGACGTTTCCAGGCTTGCTGTTTGAAACTGTGATGCCTCACAGTGATCAGATACATTTACTGCTAACTCTCTCATTGGGTTCCTGGACAAGGTCTCCTTGGGTGGCTGCTCTGGAGCACGCCTGGCTGGGGTTCAGAGACACCAGCCAGGCCCAGGGCATGCAGGTCTACTGCTGCCACCGACACTCATGTTAATGGCCTTAGTACAGAGGTCAAAGACTGCTTAGATATGAAGGCTGAATCACCTCCTTTTTAAACCCCTCAGCAGGATCAAGGCTTAGGGCAGCAGACACGTGGGCTTGCCTTCTGGCTGACAGTGTGGATGGAGAGTGTGACTCTGGGACAGGCCTTTCAGCAGTTTCAACCAACCATTGAGGGATTGAAATGGGGGTGTCTGGTGATTAAAACACGCCTGCACCAACACCCCTACATGAAAAAGCCTGATGCATTCATTTTCTTTAAAGATTTGCTGATCCCACAGGCTCTTGCTAGTTAGAGGAGGTTTGTCCTGTGACCCGAGGATCACAGGTGTCAGCTATGAGCCTTTCAGTCCAACCAGGCAGGTATAGAAAATCTTCAACTGCGCTTATTTCACTTGCAAATATAAATAAGCCAGCAGCATAGGTCTCACTTCAGACCTGTTTGCCTTGGCAGTGTCCCATTTACGTGAATCAGAAGATGGTAGCAAAAACGCACTGGAGGCTCGTCCAGAGATTGGCCTCCACTCTGTCAGGAAACCTGCCCATGCAGGCAGGGTGATTCGGAGATTACTGACACAGCTCACAAGCACAGCTTCACTAGTTCCCTGTGTTTGAACAATCCTGCCTGCAAAGGGTGCTTGTTGCCATGAGCTGTGGCGGTGCAGTATCCTGTCTTTGGACACCCTGCATCTTGGTGCACTAGGCAGGAGAGACCTGAAGGAAGCAGCTTTGGCTATGTCCTTTGTATGTCCTTTGCTCTTGTGACTTGGGCTCCTTGAAAGGAAGGGGGGTCCTGTGTTTCAAGCAGAGAGTCACAGAATGGTCAGGGTTGGAAGGGACCTCTGGAGATCATCTAGTCCAACCCCCCTGCCTGAGCAGGGTTACCCACAGCAGGTTGCACAGGATGGCATCCAGGAGGGTTTGAAATGTCTCCGGTGTGGGAGACTCTACAACCTCTCTGGGCAGCCTGTTCCAGTGCTCAGAGGGTCAGTTCTTAAGCCTGCTGCATCTCTGCCACTTTTGGTAGGTCTCTGGATTGTGCCATGCCTTAGTTTCTAAGCTGTAAAATAGGGATAGAAATTAGGAATTAAAAAAAAAAAAAAGGGCCTTGAAGAAATACGCAGTTATAATTTGTGGTGCTGTCACCACCACGATGCCCTCGTGTTGGTTTGACCATCATGGCTGTGCTTTAATATTGATAAGAGTAGAAATTTATCATGATATTAGCAAACGGGAACTCAGAAATACACCTTTTTAATTATTTTTTATTTACTTTTATTTCAGCAAATTCAGTAAAGCTAGAAATGCAAAGTGATGAGGAATGTGACAGGAAGCCCCTGAGTCAGGAAGATGAGATCAGGGCTCATGATGAAGGAAGCAGCCTGGAAGAGCCCCTCACTGAGAGTAACGAGATGGCGGATAACAGAAAGATCCAGGAGCTATCGAGCGAGGGAGGAATCCGGCTTCCGAATGGTAAACTGAAATGTGACGTCTGTGGCATGGTTTGCATTGGGCCCAATGTGCTAATGGTACATAAAAGGAGCCACACTGGTAAGCAGCTGAAAGAAAATCTGATGACTGCCTGTGGCGTCTGATGTTGATATTACCTGACAACTCTTCTCTCTTCCCTTTTTATTCATGGGGTAGCAGGAGGCTGGGGAGGGGAAAGATGGGCTTTGGTTTGTTTCTCCCTCTGCTCCCCGAATTCTGGTGATGCTATGTTTCTGGCAAGCATGGGGCTTCCTTGACATTGATTTCCAGCCTTTGGTTCTTAAAAACAGCACAAAAGTCTGGAAATTGCCTTTTTTTACTGTTCTTGAACAGAGGCCAGATGGTGAGAGCCATTTGCTGGCATGGGTGTGTGTGTGTGTGCATGTGTAAGGCTTTTGAGCCTTTAAGGTGGGTCTTAGATGGTCTGCCCTTTGAGGTGCTCATGGGGTGGACAGGGCCAGCAGCTTCCTGGGGATCTCATGCCTCCTTTGCAGGTAGCTAAGCATGATTCTGGTGGCCCAGCAAAACTGGGATTAACAAACCCTGCAGGGGACACACATTACCTAGAGATCCTGATGCCAGTGTGGGGTTGCTGCTCATCGCCTGACAGCTCCATCAGGGAAAAACCTCA